AAAGCCAACAATTTCAGCTGCCGACCCTAGTCAGGAAGCAACTATGGGTCAGTTAATTTCGTTATAATTAATTTTTCAAAAAATATTTTTCTTATTTTTCAATGTTGGTTAATAAAAAATATATGTTTAACGTAATTTATTTTTTGATTAAAATAATTTTGTATTTTTAAGAAAATAACTTACAGATTAATTTTCTGTAAGTTATTTCAAAAATTTCATTTCAAAATATAAATACATGAAATAATATTATTTTATATATTTAATATTAATATATTATTTAGTATTTTTTAATAAAATTAATTATTAAAATATATTATTAATAATTCATAATATTATAATATATTTTTAGTGTTATAATAATATAATATATGATATTATATTATATTTTAATAGTATATAATAAATTATTAATAAATTTTATTTATTTATAAATTTCATAAAATATATTATTAGATTATTAAATATTTAAAATATATTATGAATAATTTTAGAATATAATATTTTTATTTTAATATATAATAATATTTTCAGTTAATAGTAGTATTTTTATTTATAAAATTATAATAATATTTTAAAATAATAATATTAATAGTTTATAGTAAGTAGTTTTTAAAAATGATTTATTTACATTATTTGAATATCGTAAAATAATTTTTAAAATTTTACGAAATTTATTTTGCTTAAAGTAAACAGACTCTATCATGAACCAGAATAAAAACGCCCTAAAACCCGAACACCCTCCTTTCTCTCATTATTGTCGAAAACACCCCGACTACTTTACATTTTGCGTAAATCTCACGCCGCCTCCTTCCAGGCTACTGCAACAGTTAAAAACAAACACTTCCTCTTCCACTCTCCAGTACTCCTCTTTTTATGAAAAACCCTAAACTGCCCGATCTGTGTTCTGAAAAGGAAAAAACAGAAAACAATCGCCGCACTCTAAAAAAGCACTTATGGCAAGCACAGAACCCGAACACGAGCACAGAGAAGACGAAGAAGCACCCGCCGGCGAGGATGAAGACACCGGAGCTCAAGTGGCTCCTATCGTCAAGCTCGAGAAGTCGCTGTCAGCACCGGCGAAGAAAACGAAGATGCCATCCTCGATCTGTCAGTATTCTACTTTTATTAATATTTCCTATTCTAATATTCGTTAATTTATCTGGAGATTCGAATGGTCTCAATATACATAATTTTATTTACCAGGAAGTCGAAGCTATATCGATTTGATAAAGAAGCGAATCAATGGAAAGAGAGAGGAGCCGGTACTGTGAAGCTGTTGAAGCACAAAGAGACAGGGAAAGTTCGTCTTGTCATGAGGCAATCCAAAACTCTCAAGATCTGTGCCAATCATCTGGGTATTTGCTCTTCCTCAATTCCGTTGCTGCTTGTTTATTTTTTTCCTTATTTTCTGATTTCATGATCTGTACATAAAAAAATTGTGCAGTGTTGCCGACGATGACGGTGCAGGAGCATGCTGGGAATGATAAGTCGTGCCTGTGGCACGCTGCTGACTTTGCAGATGGTGAATTGAAAGATGAACTTTTCTGCATTCGTTTTGCATCCGTGGAAAGTAAGTATATTTTACTCTGAATCACTTCGCTACTTTAAATTCCTTGTTTAATTCTTTTACTAGAGTTTAAACTACGATCTGGATTTGGACATCAGGGCTTATTACACATCAGAATTTCATAGATTGGACTAATTGAGCATTTTGTTTACTAGTTCTTTCATTCTACTTAAATTTTCTTCTCTTGTTGACTGAATGAATTCGTGGTTCAACACGATGATTGATTGCATTTACAAATTTATATCATGAAGTTGCAATTGAATCTCACACTTAAGTGTTGACTACTACTACAGTACTGTTTACTTAAAATTTGGAGTGAACTTGACTTCAATGAAAATTGGAAGCATTTTCATATGTTAACCATATTGATTTTCTTGGGTTTGATATTTACATTCTTGGAAAACTATACTATGGTATAAGGCTTTTAATTTAATTTCTTATTGATGCCAAATGCCATTTAGAAAATATATGTATTCTAGGATCCCCAAAGGAAGATATATAAAATTAACTGTTGCCGGAAAAATCTTCTCTAGAAGCTGAAGAATATTAGAAAGAAGTGAAGAACGGCAGATAGGAAAGCCAAAACCAACATTTCATTAATATTATCTCATATCTTTTAACCCTAATATTAGGTTTTATAACCTATTACAAATAGTAGCCCAACTACAATACTTATTTATTAATAAAAGGTCCCTTACAGCTAATAATTTTAAATTATTTTAATGAAAACAATATATTTTTAATTAAAAGCTTACCTAAAATTCACCGTCTCCCTAACTTTCTCCATCTCTCTTCCCTGCTTTTTTTTCATTGCTGTTCAATGAATCATTCGGTGTTCTCTTTTCTCCATCAATTATGTTTTAATTAACTGTTAACTTGATATTTTACAATAGAGTTTTTTTCATTGCTTTGATTATAATTTTGTTTTGAGTGCAAAATATGTTCTATAATTCATTTATAGGCTTTTTAGTGCAAAAGTGTGCCTGGCCTACAAAAGGCGCTTGTCTTCGCCCTGCACCTTGTGCCGAGGCTCCAAAGACCCTTTGCGCCTCGGTGTGCCTTGCGCCTTTTAAAACTAAGACTGTTGCTGCTTGTGAACTCTTTTCATGATCGTGTATGATTGAATCCTTGAGCTGAATTTATAAGTCTTTTAGACAGGATAAAATCTGTTGTATATATGATTTGGCTCTTTAATGTACTAAAAATGCTTTAGAGATTGATTTACCTTGAAAATTGCTTGGTTGGAACTGTGAAAGTTGCCTCTATTGTTTATTTGAGTGGAAAGTGTTCAGAGAATATCGATAACAGTTAACAGAGCTGGGTTGTTGTTATGGATGTCTGACTATGGTTCTTGGAGATCTGGCTTCTTTTTTATTTTATTATAATGACCATTTTGATTTTAGGGAATAAAGCCTTTTGGTTTTTTACTGATTTTACATTATTCTTAAATTTAGATTGCAAAACCTTTATGGAAATGTTCCAAGAGGTTGCTGAATCCCAAAAACCGAAAGAGGAAAACAAAGATGCATCTGCTGCTGCGGAGTCACTTGAGAAGTTGAGTGTTGAAGAAAAGAAAGCTGAAGATAAAGCTGGAGAGGCTGTTGCTACAAAGGAAGGAAAGGAAACAGAAGACGATTATACAGAAAAAGCAGATATTGAGAAGAAAGATGGGGAGGCAACTTCCTCTACCTAAAAGGAGCTGGGTTTGTTTTCCATGCCATCGGCTTTTATTAAAAATGGGAGTTTATGGGTTGGAATGGTCGAGGTCTTCTGTGTACTTGGGTTTGGGTGCTGTCGAGGGTTGGTTAAACCCGTAGTCATATGTCAAGTCATGTTTGCATGGTTAGAGTTGCGTTTGGATTTTTTAGTGTCAAGGATATTTCATTCAACTGCGTTTTTCCAGGTAGTAGTTGTACTATTGTGTCAAATTTCTTTTGCTGCTTTATCCATCCATAGAGTTTTTTTTTTTGGGGGGGGGGGGGGGGTTGAACAAAAAAAGAGAGTTGGGTATTAATTAGTATTTTGAATAAAGATTGCGTTAAAAGGAATTTGGTTTGTCCAGAATTGACTTGTATATTCATTGATTGGCTTTAACAAAAACACCTATTCTATTTCTACTGTATTAAGAAATTATTGCATAATGGAAAAATCCAAATATATTTAATTAGAGCAGTTCTCTCTTTTATGATGAAAGAATCGGCCTAAGCTCCTCTCTCTTATATCGCGTTATGAAATGGTTGAGGATTAATATTTGGAATTTGAATTGGAGGCAATAATGGCGGGGTGCAACGAAGTAGAAGAGATTCATAAAGGATGGGGTATAAATGGTGATTAGAAGAAATATAAGTATAATCTCTGCCCCTTATACTATGTGTGCATCCGGCCCCATATTACAAATGTCAATTTCGAGGAGTAAACCTTTCTACAACCATGAATTAGAAGCACTCCTTTGAATGGTATTTTACATCATACTTTGCCAAGAGCATGGACCGGGTAAAAATAATAACGTTTAGTTAAAAAATCACACTCTTGTTTAGCGACCAGAGCCTTATTCATCGATTTTGCTTTACGAATCTCTAGATCACCACAGTTTTGATGGCTTGCATAGAAGATCTCAATTACACAGCTTTTGTGCGCGATCCCCGACAGAAACTCCCAACTATTTGATTAATCTTCGGGGTCCCATGTTTAGGAGCCTCAACAGATGATAACATCTAATCGAGAAGAGCTGCAAGAGTTGTTGGTTGTAAAGTAAATAAAATTAATTTCACTCAAAAAAAAACGTAATGTGATTTGATTTCTTTCACCCATTTCATCAGCAATTTTAAATGATAAACTGTTATTTCGTATTTAATTTTTTTTATAAAAAAAAAAACTACAAATCGTACCCATACCTTATAAGTATTTTTTGAACCAAAAAAATACAAAATCTTTATAAAAAAAAAAACTACCGAAGGACTATATCATTCTGTACTCCTTTAAAAGCTAAATATATCCTTTAAAGATTTCCTGGCGGATGAGATTCTCAAGCCGTAAGGACCAACCATTGGCTGAAGAATTCTGTTATTTTTAAAATGCTCAGTATGCATGCCCAAATACTTGGGAGTTTCTGCTCTTTGAACCCCAAGAATTAGAAATAACTCTGACATGGGAGAGAAGTACCTTTTTGCCTAGCCTTAGCTGCTAGACTTTGAAATAACTCTTGACTTGCCATTGTTAATCGAAAGTATATATGTGTAAGTTAAATTTGCGTGCTTAATTTTAAAATGATTTATATTAGGTTAGTTTTCTAATTTTGTCAACTTACTAAATTGCGTGAATAATTAAACTTACTAAATAAAGAGTGTAAAGTAACATTACTATTTTGGCCGCGACTCTACGCAATCAAGCCATTAATCCCAAGTAGAATAAATGCGCCCCATCCCGAAAACACCCTCCTCCTCCTCCTCTATATCGTCCAGAAAAAACTCTCACTCCCTCTCTCACTCTCCCCCTTATATAAAAACCCTAACAGCCAGATATTGTCCTATTGCTATCTCAATTAAAAGAAATACGCACGCCTCACCCTTAAAATACGTTATGGCAAGCAAAGAGCCCGAACATGAGCATAGAGAAGACGAAGAAGCTCCCGCCGCCGATGATGAAGATACCGGAGCTCAAGTTGCCCCTATTGTCAAGCTCGAGGAAGTGGCTGTTAGCACCGGCGAGGAAAATGAAGATCCCATCCTCGATCTGTCAGTTTTTTTCTATTATTTTTATTTCCGATATTCGAATATTCGTTGATTTATCTAGAGATCCTATTGTTATGAATATACATAACTTTATTCACTAGGAAATCGAAGCTCTATCGTTTTGATAAAGAAGGGAATCAATGGAAAGAGAGGGGCGCTGGTACTGTGAAGCTGTTGAAGCACAAAGAAACTGGAAAAGTTCGCCTTGTTATGAGGCAATCTAAGACTCTTAAGATCTGCGCCAATCATCTAGGTTTCTTCTCTTCTTTCTTTGTCTCTCGCTAAATTCAGTTTCTCTTTTATTTTCCTTCCATTTTCTGATTATTTCATAATTTTACAGTTTTGCCGACCATGACGGTGCAGGAGCACGCTGGGAATGATAAATCCTGCTTATGGCACGCTCCTGATTTTTCAGATGGTGAATTGAAAGATGAACTTTTCTGCATTCGATTTGCATCGGTTGAAAGTAAGTATATTCGACTCTAAATCACTTTGCTACTGTGCTAAACGAAGTTGAAACAAGGTTATTTCAACTCCTTATTTAATGTCCGATCTGGATCTGCACATCAGGACTTAGTAAATAGAATTTCATAGAGTGGACTAGTAAGAGCATTGGTATTTTCTTTGATTAGTTAGTGGCTTATATTTTAATCAAGTGTTCTTATCTTGTTGAATGTTTGAATGCTGGGTTGAACATGATTCAAAGGTTTAAAATTAAATTCATAGGAACTGAAATTTTAATTTTAGTCAAATCTGTGTGAGTTGGTATCAGTTGCAAATAAGTATTTGTTAAGAAGTGATTGCGTTTTACTAATTTATAGCATGGATTGGCAAACAACTTTCACACTTAAATGTGGAGCAATACTGTAGTCCTGTTTTCTTAAAACTTGCAGTGAACATCAGTTTTCTCCCAGTAGCCCATGTTGACTTTGAAGAAAATTTGAAGCATTTTCCCTTGTTAACCTCAGTGGTTTTTTTGGGTTTTATATTTCCCTTTTTTGAGAATTAATAAAATGTTATAACGGTAAATTGAATTCCATATTGATGACACATGCCATTTAAATAAGATGTGAACTCTAGGATGTCCAATTGAATAAGCTTAAAATCAATTGTTGTTGCATCTGAACTCTTGCTGTTATCGTGCACATGATTGAATCCTTTATTTGAATTTTTTAGTCTTAGACATGGTAAGATTAGTTTTGTATAAGATTTGACACTTTAATGTAATAACCATGCTGGGGAGCTTGAATGCCATGGAAATGAAACTTTGAGTGGACTTTATCATTTTGTGGGAAATGTTACAGAGAATATCAGTTACATTTAGCAGAAATGGGTTAAGATTGGGGTTATCAATGGCATGTGACTGTTCTTTGTAATTTGGCTTCTATTTGGTTTTAATACATCGACTGTTTTGCTTTGAGGGAATAAAGACTTTTGGATTTTGTTGATTTCACATTTTTTCTTAAAATTAGATTGCAAAACATTTATGGAAATGTTCCAAGAAGTGGCTGAATCACAAAAATCGTACGAGGAAAATAAAGATGCATCTGCTGCTGCTGAGTCACTTGAGAAGTTGAGCGTTGAAGAAACGAAAGCTGAAGTTAAAGCTGGAGAGGAGAAGGCTGTTGCTACAAAGGAAGAGAAGGAAACAGAAAAACCAGATGAGAAGAAAGATGGGGAGACAGTTTCCTCTACCTGAAAGGCGTTTGCGTTTGTTTTCCATGCCATAAGGCTTTTGGAGAATATTGTGAGATTTGTCAGTCACCTGATTCAACACGTGTCTCCAAATTATTGGGGGTGAAACTAGATACGTAATATATGAGTTGGAGTGGTCGAGGTCCTTCGTGTCCTTATATTTGGGTTTGTGTCGAGGGTTGGTCAAACCCTGAGTCCTGTGTCAGTCATGTTTGCATGGTTAGAGGTGCGATTGGGATTTGGATAATGTGGAGGAGGATTCATTCAACTGGAATTTTCCTGGTAATAGTATCAGCGTGTCAATGATGTATTGCTGCTCTGACCATACATTGAAAGATTTCTTGTTATAGACTTTTTTTTAACCTTTGGGGATTTAATTACTTTTGAATTTTGCATTTTTGTGTCTCAAGATTTGAAAGTTTGGGTGAAAAGGAATTTGGTTTGCTTCAGATTCCTATTCTGTTTCTACGTTATTAAGAAATGACTGCATAAAGGAAAACCCACAAAATTTTTATAATTAAAGCAATTATCTTGTGGTATGATCATTTGAAGCATGTAGGTGAGGGACTTGGCTTTTAAGTTAGAAATTCGCCTATCATTTGTAGACGTGGCAGCCTTATAAGGGGGATTAAATGAAGGCAAGACAGCCTCAGGGTACAAGCGGGGATTGTTGGCGCATTTGTGGAAGCAAATTTCCTATGCTTTTGGGCCATCTATCAAAGTAACTTGAAGCCGGATGCCAGATAGCAATTCGTAAGATCCTTAGCATCAACTTCTTCTGCGTTATCAACAACAAAGGTAGGGAACAATGTTAAGAAAACAACTTACATACTCTAGTAGAAAACTTTTAATCGTTGATAATTTCCCCCAGAATATTTTCTTCCATTTCCACAAGAATACGATGATATCATCAATCGAGTTCATTATTTCATGCTTTCGGTATTTATAATTCTTAGACACGAGATCAATTCATCGACTTCTTTTAAAAATTATTTTGTAGATGTCTGTGAAGATATTCATTTTTTTTCATTTTTTATTTTATTTATATTATTATTATTATAATTATTATTATTATAATTATAATTATAATATTATTATTATATATTATTTAATATTACAAGCCCAAATGGAAGCCCAATTACAAACAGTGGCCCAGATCCAAAATTTTACAGTAAACCCTAAACCCAATTTAGGGTTTGTATCATCCAGCTGCCACCGCTCAAGCTTCAGCCGTTGGATCTGGTTTGATCCAACGGTCCACAGTTTGCCAGAGGAAGCCCTAGGGTATCAATACCCTAGGGACACGTCCCAGCGCCGCCGTAGATTCCAGAAGACCACGCGGCGCTGCTTCAGTCTCACCGCCACTCCAGCCGCACACGTCTTTCCCAAATGGTGAGTCACCACTGGAAGTCCGGTGACTCACCGAAGAACCCCTTTCGGACCGGTCTGAGACGAACACCGGTGATGGCTATAAAGCCATCACCCCATCTGCGAGCAAAAAAAAGGGACAGAGACAGAGACAGAGACAAAAGAGACAGAGACAGAGATAAAAGAGACAGAGACAGAGAGAAAAGAGAGAGACAGAGCCGAAAAAAAAAAACAGAGAAACAATATAAAAAAAAACTACTACCAACGATCTCAGTCAACATCCCACAACCAGCAACCAAAAAATAGAAGAAAAAGGAGGAGAGAAACTTACCGAGGAAGCCGACCGCCGGATCTCACCAAAACCTTCGAAAAATCGAAGGTATTTTTTTTAGATTTGCTCCGATTGGGAGCCGTTTAAAGGAAAAGATCATCGGAACCGTCATTAGGACGGTTCGATCTACGTTTCGATGTAAAAAAAATTTTTTCCGGCCACCGAAGACGGTGGCCGGCGGCGGTGGTTGACGGCGGACGAACGCCGACTGACGGCTGCCGGCCGGCTGGCTTCTCTCTGTTTTAGAGAGAAGCGAGAGAGAAGGAAAATGAAGAAATGAAGCTGGCCCTTCGGGCCAGCCGGTTTTGGACCTTTTATAGGCCTTCCCGAACGACGTCGTTTCGGGAAGGACTATGCACGTAATTATACAATAGTTAAACCCCGTCCGTCGTCCTCCTAATTTGTAATTTTTACATTCTAGTCACTAAATCGATTTTATAATACTTTTAATTCAGATCTTAAATTTTAATTTCTTTTATTTTAGTCCTTTATATTAAAATAATATATTTAGGATAAATAACAGATTTAATCCCTTAATTTTAATAAATAATATTTTAATCCCTAGTTTATATTTTTAATTTATTTTATTCTAATATCCGAATTTTAGATAATTTTATTTTAGTCACTAAATAAATAAAATAAAAAATAGCATGTTTAATCCCTATAATTTTGATTAATTATGAATTAGATTTTTAATTTTATTTTTGCTGTAATTTAGTCATTTATTTTATATGTTTTCATTTATTTTACTGCTTTTAAAATATATTGTTTTAGTAGTATTTTTATTTTATTTGTTTATATTTTTTTATGTGTTCATAAATATATATATAATAAATAGTAATTAAATTTTTAAATATTTATTTTTAATATCGAAGAAAATGACAGTCTTAATACAACTGGATATCCTATTCTGGTATTTTAAAATTAAACAATATTATTTAAATTAATATTTATCAATATCAAAGGAAAGAGTTGTCTTAAGGCACCTAGAAGTTCTTTTCTGATATTTTTAAATAAATAAATAGTATTTATATAATTTCGAAATAATAGGATTATAAATTAAATATATTTTTGAATTTTTAAAATTTTAATAATAGAGACAATTTATAATTAAAAAGTACCAATTTTGGGCGTTGTAGGGGTGCTAATCCTTCCCTAAACGTAACCGACCACGAATCCCTTTTTATTATTAAAAAGAATGAATTTTTGGTTATAAACGCAGATCATATTTATTTTTTTTAATTAATGTTTTCTTAAAACTCTTTTAAAAAAAATAATTTTTAGGTATTCGACCTACCTGATCCAAAAGGCCGATGGCGACTCCCAAATTATTTTCAAAATTATTTATTCACATCAATTTCCCCGCCAAGTATAATATTTCGTGCCCGGACGAAAACCGGTTACGACAGCTTGGCGACTCCGCTGGGGACCTGGTCAAACTTTTAAAAATCAATTATAATTTGTCTCCATTAATTAAAAATTAAAAATTAAAAATTTATATATTTAATTTTTAATCCTTTCTTTTCAAAATTTTTATATTTACTTATTATTTTCATAATATTTACATGTTTTATTTATAAGTATTTTATTTCATTATTTATTTTGTCAGAGGTATGAACATTTCTCCTCACACACAACACTTGCATTGCATAACATAAAGCTCTATAATTGAGTTGTCCCTTTTAAGTGGGAGTGAAAGCGACGTCTTCGTGAGAATTTATTCTCCGTGTTAGACCTAGCAAGTAACTTCCGGGGTTCATATGCTCTCTGTCTTCGTGAGAATTTATTCTCCGTGTCAGGCATAGAGAAATGTATCCCCTCGAATTGAACTCGATCCACTTTAGTCTGTGATGGACTAGGATTGAGGGTTAGCAACCCAAGGGGGCACTAACAAGGACAATTCGGGTACCTTTATTCTTAGATCTGAAACCCTGCATATAAAAAACCTTAGGAACTCTTCCGATACAAAGTCATGCCGAAATTTTGCCTAAAATAGGAGTACACACAGGAGAAATGAATTCTAACTTTCTTGTTTATTTATTTTCTTTACTGATTAAATTACATGTATATTTAAATTATTTAAATTTAGAAAAAGCATGTTTAAATAAAAAAATATTTATGTAAATGTTATTATTGAATTTTTTTATTATGTAAACTAATTTATTTTCTTTTTGTGTGTTCTTTATTTTTCTGTTTGCATAGCATCATACAGGATAAAAGACATTGAACCTTGTGTTAATTGTCTCATTGGAAAGCCTTCATCTATGGAAAAAGTGTTCAATCAAGTAATTCTAAACTCAGAAGTAAGACAGTGGGCTGAGGATTTACAAAGACAAGAAGGAGACAGTCTGCAGGATGATTATGTATCTGACTTGGCCAGTTATGCTCCAGTTTCACTAAAAAGAAATGATATGCAAGATTTGCGAAGCATTTGGGAAAGTTGGGATTCAAACAAAAAATTGCAGTTTTATCAGACTTACGGAGACATCCCATATTTGCTCTATGTAGAAGTTGATGATGAATTACTCAGAGCCCTAATTCAATTCTGGAATCCAGGGTACAATTGCTTCACTCTCAATAAAGAGGATTTGGTCACTACTATTGAAGAATACACAACTTTGCTACATATAGATGGGGCTTTGGAGAATCGAATCTATTCAAAGTCAATTAAAACTCAACCCTTTCGAGTTAAATTAGCAAAGATTGCCGGGGTACGAGAAGAATGGGTGGCATCCCGTACAAAACAAAAAGGCGAAAGCGAAGGCATCGCTTGGACCAACATTAAAGAACTTATTCAGAGTCATCCAGATATTAAAGTACGATTCGATTTATTTGCTCTGGGTATGTATGGTATGGTCATTTTCCCAAAAGTATTGGGATATGTTGAAGCTGCAGTGGTAGATTTCTTTGAACAGCTACCGAAAAAGATTAATCCTGCTTCTGCAATCCTAGCAGAGACCTTCAGATCGTTAAATGCTTGTAGAAAGTTAGGAGGTGGACGATTCTCAGGGTGTACCCAGTTGTTATATGTTTGGATCCGTAGTCATTTCTGGAGGACAGAAAAGGTTTCATACCGACGCTTTAATACGGATTACTCACCATTAAAAGAATTTCTAGAGCAGGAATGGCCGAAAGAAATTAAGAAAGATATGTGGATTAATGCCTTTCGAAATCTACAAAGCAATGACATGATTTAGCGAGCCCCGTGGCAAATCCAAAGGGAATTCTTTTACAAATGTGGAGATTACAACTGGATAATGCTGCTCGGATTATGGGGAGGAATTGGATATGCACCACTTCTGGTCATAAGACAATATGAAGGTCGTCAATTTGTACCTGTCACTGCTGGGTTACAGTCATCTGAATTCGCATTCCACAGCAAAAATTATAAAAGAAGTATCATGGAAGCCGTTACAGCTTGGAAAACAACTTTTTGTATCCGAGCTAAAGCAGCAAAAGAAATGCTAACTCCTGATTATGAAGAATGGAGATCTGTCAGGAAAAACGAAAATATTCCTCTACCAGATCAAAATGAGGATATTTCTATGGAAGATCGCATTAAGATGGTTCCGTCAGAGATTGAAATCTTGAGAGCTGAGTTTGAAACAGAAAGAGAAGGCTGGTTGAAAGAATTAGAGCAAATGAGACAAGATAAAGCTATGTTG